CCTAAACCTAACCCTAACCATAACCATAACCCTAAACCTAACCCTAACCCTAATCCTAACCCTAACCCTAACGCAAAAAAGGGGCTTGAACGACCGACGGCTGGCGTACCTCCAGCCACTGCGCAGTAGTAACCCAGTACTGCAGCTGTAAGGTATTAAAGCCACAATATGCGCATCTACACGCTAATTTCTTCAGTACTAGACTAGCAAATACTTCGTGACATGCATAATCACACTATCTTATGACAAAATAAACTAGTTCCTCTCATTTCACTGCGCGTTTGCTTAAAACCCACAAGAAAGAGGTGCGAAATCTGGTAATCTGGCGCCAACGCCGAATTGTTTGCCAAGCAATTTCGCCCCCAATCGGTTAGGTGACATCACATGTTGCTACGGGTGTTCAGCAGAGAATATAGTCGTTTACATTTTAAGATAGTTGTAGTATTGTGAACTGCAGTGTATGTAACGTCAATGTCTATTGGGAAAGTAATAATAGGCAGCGTAATAAACTCTGAGAATAACGTATTAATTTTAGGCTTGATATCGCGAACGATAACATGTCATTGCGCTAGCAGCGTGCGAGTGAAAAACGCACACGGGCCGTATAAATATTTGCTACACCCGCTGTATGGTTGCTTGGCAGAGCAACGCAAAAGTGTCAACAACATCGGAGAATTTGAACAACATTGGAGGTATTTTCAAATGCCTTTTATAAGACAACGTGCAGTGAAATGGGAGGAACTAGAGTATATTTTGTCAAAAGGTAGTATGATTATGCATGACACGAAGTATTTGCTAGGTTAGTACTGGAGAAATTAGCGTGTAGATGCGCATATTGTGGCTTTAATGTCAGAGTATTATTGACATTTGTGTTTAATCACTTACTGACTTAGATCAGGGGTTCTTAACCTGTCGTCCGTGGATGGGCTTCAGGGGGTTCATAAATAAAGCACAAAAATGTGTGTGTTTATGTGCTTAACACGGTTATTGCGAGTTTTTTGGCTCAGTGAACGGAGTGATTTACAGAGGAGACAGAGTGATGATACCAAAGACCATGAGGCAGGAAATGCTCTAGAAACTACATGCACCGACCATGGGATTCATCACAACCAAACAGCGAGCTAGAGACGTACTATTCTGGCCAGGAATGAACAAGCAGATCGAGAAGATGATAATAAGTGTCCGGTATGTTTGGAGCGCCAGAACAGGCTTCCCAAAGAACCAATTATTATCCATCCCCTACCAAGTCTACCGTGGAACAAACTGGGCACTGACATGTTCGAGCTGGACGGAAACCATTATCTCCTGATGGTCGATTATTATTCCAACTTTGTAGAAGTGACGCCGCTCAGCGACACAAAGACAAGTACAGTTGCACGACGTGGAATAATTGGCACGCTAGTACGCTCCAACGGGCCACAGTATATGCAAGCAAAGAGTTCCGACAAGTAATGGAGAAGTACAACTTAAAACATGCGACGTCATCTCCACCCTACCAAAGATCTAATGGTTTGGTGGAACGAGCAGTGCAGACTGTAAAGAAGATGATAAAGATATGTCAAGCTACATGGGAAGATATCTACAGTCCGACCTCCTTTATCCGGCCACCCGTTATCCGGAAATCTCTTTTAACCGGTCGCGATCTCGCAGTGTATGTTCTCTGTTTTTTAGCTCATCTGACATAGTCAGATGCAGCTTGTAGAATCGCATGATCGTCCGTCCGTCCGAGCGTCCGTCCGAGCGTCCGTCCGTCAACAGTT